GCACCCTCAAATTGCCTAGCCAAGTAAAAAACCTTTTATGTCAACACTTTGATGAAAACTTGTTAACTTTTGTCAAAATTATTGTCCTGCATTAAAGCATACCACAATGACTTTTTGGCACATAGAAGACTTCAAAATAAGCATCTTGCCTGTTAAAATTTTTACCCTGAGAATGGTGTGCCATGAAGTTTAATAAGGTTTATGCATTAACAACCCACCTTTCCAGTATGCGTAAATACCTTTCTATAGATAGTTAATTATTTTTTTGCCATATGTTTCTATGCTACTCCAATGCTGTTAATATTTGGAAGTGTTTTAATATTTCTGAGAAATATTAACCCAGTTAACAGTAATATTGTATCTATTTTGTAATCCTAGCATACAAACCTATTCTCCCCACCCTCCCCCCAGTGTTATTATTGTAAATGGAATAATTTAAGATAGGAATATTTCATGTTTACCAACAGGCAATATTTATTATTATTATAACTGAGAACTCTACATACAGTATTGCACAAAATTATCATGGACCAATTAACAAAACCACGTTCCTACATAACTGGAAATAGCACTTGAACAGAAATTTAACACATTGTGCGTTAAGTGGTCTTAGTAAAGTGACAATTTATAGGATTATTTCATGGGACTACGTAAGTGCAAACTTTCATTCAAGGCATATACACACAACACATTGAAATGATTGCTGTAACGTGCCACAGGTCTAAATAAACCCCCAAACACACCCCCACCCCAAAACACACCAAAACAAGTTAAATGAGTAAGTACTAGCACTCTTAGCAACCACCAGAACTCCCACATTCAAAGTGTTATCTTCTAGCAAGAAGCAGAGAAACACAATTTGAAGAAATGCCCCTAGCTTGGAGTTTTAGACATATTAATGCAGTTGTATTACATTAACTACATTTTTTTGTTTGGCAAGACTGAAAGACTTACAGGACTGTAAATGCACCTAGCTAGGGTATTGCCAGTAATTCCTTAATTGCTATATATAGTAACTGTGTATGACAGTTGACTGTTGAAGGAAATAGGTTTTACATCAAAAGGTGATACAGTATACAACCAAAATTCAAGTATTTAACTATAGGTGTGGAAATTCTGATCTTCTGTTCCTGTGCACTACATAAAACAGGCCAAGAATTATTTTATTTTTTCCTTTTTATTCTTTCCTCTATACCTTTTCCCAGACGGATAAATATGTAGCTGCAACCCTATGCCTTCAGCACATTACTATTCCAAAGTTGCTGACAGGCACGTGGGTACAACCATCCAGATCAGTGTGACCTCTGGATTTTCAACATGCAGCCTTAACGCTCTCTCCCATCTCAACACCTGTTTGTCCTTGACTGCAAGACCCCAGTGCCTGTTGTCCCCTACTTCTTATTTGCACCCTTTCCAGCAGACATGCTACCTTCTCTTCTGCCCAAGTGAGCAGCTTAGCTGCACAATGTCATCTTTGGACAAAGAGGGAAACACAGAGATAAAAGGATGGAACAGTACTTCTCTCATACCAGCTTTTGGGAAGGCCTGGAGAGACATTCGCACTTCTGCCTGAGCACCAGCGAAGAAGTGCTGAAGACTTTAAAAGCCTGAAAAAACACTGGTTTACAAAAACAAAATTCTGATGAGGAGAAAGTTAAGTTTAAATTCCAAAGAAAAAAAATTACCTCCTATAAACATACTATCTTAATTAATATTTAGAGTCATTTAAAACAATTACGGAATACTAAGGGTTTTTCAAATTTAACCTCAAGACAGGAGTTAAACAGAAGTTACCATACGTTTTGTTGAAAAACCCTAGTGCCTACACAGTTCAAGCTGTAACAGAATTAGTAGCAGACATGATTATAAAAAAAAAAACCAGAAGAGTGTAAGATTCCTCTCTCAAAAGTGTTCGTAGCTTTTGGTGCACAGACAGCACATTTTGTGAACATGAGGAATCAGAATCTGGAGGCGGTTTTACCAACTTTGCAATTTAAGTCAAGAAAGATAAATGACAGAAAAGTGAGAAACAAGGCCTGTGTGTTTCATCCTGGTTTAGTACTTCAGTGCCTGAATATATTTCACGTTCTTAAAAATGTCCAAGTACAGCAGAGAGCGTGCCTTCAGCAAGGAACAGAATTAAAACTGGGTTAGCCCATCTTGAAGTATTTCTACAAGCAGTGCTATGGCAGCCTACCACTATAGGAACTACTACTACATGAACTTCTTTTTGAGCTTCCCTGGATTTATGGGAAAATAAACCACCAGAAAACCCACACAGAAGAAGATGAAAGCGTCAGAAAACTACAAACACAAAGCAAGCATCTACATAATCATAGGGAACTCTTGAGGCTGAGGGCTGTGTGCCTATGTATATAATTCTTTATAAACAAACACATATAAATAGTGTTTTGTTCCCTCCCCCGCCTCCCCCCCATCAAAGCAGAACACACAGGCAATATATTCTTTCAAATGGGTTTTGGATGGGAAATTGTGAATGGAGTGGACAAAGAAAATGACAAAAGAACAGTGAGGTTTTATTTCCTTGGCATGTGAAAGTATAGAGATGTTACTACTTCAGTTACTGTTCTTACCTTTTGGATCCCAGTTCATGACAAATTACAGCATAATTACATCAGTGGTGGAATTTAACACACAGTTTGCATTTTCAAAACAATTTATTTTTCTTAATGGTATCCACACTTTACACAGCCTATAAACCTGAAGGAAATGCATTTGCTTCTGAAAGCCATAATAGTAGGTGTTTTGAGGTGTTTCAAAGTCAAAGAAGTAGTCCAGAGATTTCAGATGTTAAAGCTTTCTCCACAGCCACACGTTCCTTTGATGTTTGGATTATTGAAGACAAATTCACTGGACAGTTTGTCTTCCACATAGTCCATTTCAGTTCCTAGAAGTGTCAGCTGTGCCTTCTTCTCAATAAACACTCTAACCCCTTGAAGACAACAACAACAACAACAAATTACATACAGCAAAATCATCATTCACTTTTAAATTCTCTTTTGACCAGTGATAGAAAATGGAAGCTAAATAGAAGACCACCAGTATAACTTGGTTTCCCTGTCCTAACATGGGGCACTTTCATCACTGATTTTATTCTACCTATAAAACTCCAGCAACAGTCTATCATTGTTATTTGTGTGTTACACATGAATGTATGTATTTGGCCAGGGTGGGGTGATGATGGATTTAAAAACATGATACCCAAGGAAATAAGCTGTAGAACTTTGTGAACAAATCTCAGCTTCTACACTTAATTCCCATACCTTACAGTCAGTAGCCCATTTCCTACCATTCTTAAAGTCTGTGCATCCAACAAGATGCCCAAAAACCTTGAAAAAACAAATACTCCTCTCTCAAAATTATTATTTTTGCTCTACCAAAACTATTAGGTCTACATTAACTATTAGCAATACGGAATTCTATAATAAGTCACATGTGTGAATTTTCAAAGATATCACAACCTTTAAGGATTAAGAATTTGTAGTCCACCTTAGGAACTAGAAAGCGTTCCCTTTTCTAAAGTACACAAAGTATCTGCCTCTCCAGGGAGTTACTGAACTTTGAAACTGCAAATCTGACAAAAAGGTGCAAGTACTAGGAAATAACAAAAATTAAAGTGTAAAATTGTATCCGTAAACAGCAATAAGAACTCATTAAGTTATATAGGAGAGTGCCAGAAAGCTGTTTTATCATAGTAAACACTGAGACAAAACATACTACTAACACAACTCAAATCTGTGGGCAACTGAGTTGAATTTATACACCTTTGGGGCCAATTTGGACAGCCACTGACAGTGAAGGCTAGACCTACTGAAGGAGTTTATGGACCTGATCCCTGAAGCAGTCATTTACTACCTAAAAGCCAGAGAATTTGTGCTGGCATCCAAAGCCACCAGCTCACTGAGCACAGAGCTACATGAAGTCAGAGCCTTCACTGGAAATCTGTCTAGAAGCAACCAAAACCAACCAGAAAGCGCAGAGCACACCTAAAATGCTGTCTGGCTTTGGAACTTAAAAGTCTCTGACCTGATTGAGAGAAACTGCTTTTATCTTCCTTAAGATCCAAACCAAGAAATGCCTTCTGAAAAATGTGTTTTCAGCCCTGTGAAGCTAGAGCAGCTCTGAGTCAAGCAGAAGAGATTAACTATAGAAGCCAGCTAAACCTGAAATCAAGAGGCACCTGCAGAATAAGGTGGCAGTCCCTATCTCATATACCCTGGTTCAATTTAATAATTTGCTGAAGTTCTAACTAACTCTCTGTTTAAGAGAATAAAATTTATTAGTTGGTCACAGGTGTTTTGAAGACAGCTGGAAGATGGGCTCTGCCTAGAGGCATAGCTTCTGTAAGAAAATAATTATGATATCCCACTTAAATACAAATCTCTTTGCCACCAAATTAAAAGTAATATTCCTGAACATGATATAAGAGTCCACTAATGCCTAAAAAAACCCCTGAAACCACTCCTATAAAAGGAATTTTAGGAACTTTTAGAAAAAGAACAGAAATCAAAACAAACACTATTATATTTCCGTAAAAAACCGTAGTTGACAAAAAGACCGCTGACAAAAATTTTTACAGAAATTGGAAAAATGTATAGAACTCTGCTGGTTTTGGCTGGGATAGAGCTAATTTTCTTCATAGTAGCTAGTATGAGGCTATGTTTTGGATTTGTGCTGGAAACTGTATTGATAACACAGGGGTGTTTTCATTATTGCTGAGCAGTGCTTACACACAGTCAAAACTTCTCTGCTTCTCACACCACCCCACCAGCGAGGAGGCTGGGGTGCACAAGAAGTTGGGAAGGGGCACAGCTGGAACAGCTGATGCCACCTGACCAGAGGGATATTCCACACCATATGATGACACGCTCAGTAATAAAAGCTGGGAGGGATGTTCAGAGTGATAGTGTTTGTCTTCCCAAGTAACTGTTGGGTATGATGAAGCCCTGCTTTCCCGGAAAGGGCTAAACACCTGCCTGCCAATGGGAAGCAGTGAATGAATTCTTTATTTCACTTTTGTTTTACCCATTAAAGTATTTTTATCTCAACCCATGAGTTTTCTCACTTTTTCCATTCTGATTCTCCTCCCTATCCCACCACAGGGGAGTGAGTGGCTATGTGAGACTTAGCTGCCAGCTAGGGTTAAACCACAATAAGAATTTTAACAATAGATCTGTCATGGGATGCTCAATGAAACTGTCAGACAGAAAGCTTAAATACCAGCATATGAAAACAATTTTTAAAATACTCTTAAATTAAAATGATAAGTCACCATTGTAACAAACCAATGTAAAGGTCAAAAGCATAAAGAGGTTAAAAACAGATTACAAATCAATGAAGAATTGGAAGTTAGAGAAGATAACTGGTAAAACCCCTTGCAAATAAAATCTTTACTTTGCCAAGCCTTGGCTTAGGTATGCTGATAAAGTATTCCTTTATATATGCATTGATCTATACTTTTCCTCTAAATATCTGCTATTAGCCACCTCCAAATACATGAATAATGGACTAGACTATTCTGGTAGTCTCTGATTGCAAAGCTGCAGATTTTAACTAACTGCTCACTTCAAAACAGAAACTAAGGTGACAACAATTCCCATAACAGAACAGGTAGGACCTCTTGCTAATAACTTGTTACTTCAAGTAAGTTCTAACCGGTACCTTGTCAAAGCTGTAATAGGTTATTCTTCCCCACCACCACAGAAATTTGCTCTGCTGCATCAGAAACTCACCGTCTTGAACTACTTCTTCATCAGAGTCTCCTTTTGATTTTGTATATTCTAACGTGTAAGAAAGTCCATTGCATCCTCTTGTACGAACACCTACTTTCACGCCTACCTATTAAAAAAAAACCCCAACCCCACATTAATGACTTAAAAAAAACTTATTCTGGAACACCAAGATAAAAAGTATGCAGAACAACAAAATGCTGATGTGCATTATTCTCCACTGCCTCAAAGCAGAACTGAATTAGCTTAATGGATTAAGAGGTAACATTTTTTTTCTTTTTACAAAATTGACTGCCAAGGTAAAAGCAAACATCAGATGCTGCTGTGGATCAAGCCCTGAAGTATGTCAAGGTTTTGAAGTAATAAACCGTTGGCACTCCTGTAGGTGCCTGGTCTCATAAAGACAGTCAAATTTCAAAGATGGCTATTTTTCTGACTTCAAACTGAAGTTTACTCAGATGCTAATTCAGGCAGTATGTTAAGACTATTGACAGTAATGTAATTATGAATTGTGAAGCCAAGACAAAAGCAGTTACTAGATTTTCAACAAACTCTTGTAATGACATCATCAGAAAACCTACTTCAAACCAAAGCTGTGAAAAATGTACTTTGATTTCTTCATTTCCTCTGCTGCCAGTCTCACTTAAAAAGCAATCTGCTCCTTAAATCCAGCATATTTGTTCTTCTTACAGTTTTAGTGGACTTTAAAAGCCAACCTAGTCAACATGTTTGTAACATTCACAGTATCCAACAAGTCTGGCAAAAAGTGCATCCATATAAGGTAAAACCTGAGAAAAGGTTTTAAAGAAACAGAAGGCTATTTGTGCACAATAATCTTTCCACACACCAATACTTCATAACTGAAGAGGAAATTATATATTGTCTATCTCTGTGATCAATGTTACAATAAAATGCATCAAAACATAACACTTGTCACGAAGTGGGATCTCAGTCAAACACCTTTTGATCTTTTCAGACTAAATACCTTTCTCTATAGTAACAGCTACAAGTAATGGGCTGGAAAATGTAAACACCATTTATAGCAAGGGGATGACTGACCAGCTAAGCAGTAGGCTTAGGGCTTCCTCAGGAAGGTTGAAAACATTAGAACAAAGAGTCTAGTTAGTTGCAGGTGTGCAGGAAGCAAAAGAAACAATGGACCTTGTATGAAAGTTAAAAGAGAAATATTATTCTTGAAATAATACTTACTGTAAAGAAGAAAATTTAATGCTTGTTTTTATAATGGTTAGAAAGCAAGACTCTGGGTCTTCTTCCCCAAGAAGAAAACATGACAAGCTCAATCACTTATTTGGAGAAATGTTGATTACTTAAAAAATAAATATATTAAATATTAAAAAAATACTGTCTGCAAGTTTCCTAAGAATTAGATGTTTTCCCATGGGTATTATTATAAACTTCACAATGAGAATTCCTATAAGAACTTAA